ATTGTTTCATGAGAGACATGCAATTTCAGGGCCATTTCAAGAGTGTGTGTGTTGTCTTGGGTTAGACTCAGCAAGCGTCTTCAGAGCATCGATGTCAATTCCAACATGTTGAGCCCTGCCATCACACTTTTTAAGGCTAAAGTCACCTGAACAAAATTTGCTGAACCATCGTTGACACTTACAAACATTCAAAATATTTCCATAAACTTCTTTGATATTCTTTGTGGCTACAGAGGCATTGTTTCACTTCTTGTATTCAAACAGTATTACATGCCTAATGTGTGTCTCGTTGTGTGCCATCACTATAAGGGATTACAGTATATTAAACTTTATACATTATATAAGCTACACCTATGTGACGTTTAGGCAGTTCATTTAATTATTATACGTGATATACGTTTTTTGGAGGGTGGTTAATGAAAGTGTTTCAAAATGGGACATTAATTTCTTGACAACCTAATATATATAATTAATAATAAATAATTCCCTTAATTAATATAGCTCACATCATAACAGTTGTTATTAATGTAACTTAATGATATAAATAATACCTTGACCATTACCACGTCTGTTTATCCCAGCCAGTCTGATGAGTCCCTGTATTGGGCAAAAGGCCTCCTAGGCACTAGATATGGCAGATGTAATGTGGTTGACATATTACTATATTTCTTCTTTACTTTCACTCATAATGTTCTAGACTTTCATTATAATAAGACATCTTTCTTTTTCATCTATTTTGAACTTGACATTGTTTCTGTTTATACATGTTTTTAGAAAACATATTGATGTTTTTCCAATACAAGTTGTGTATGAAGATTGTGGTATAATACTGAATGATACTAGCAAGTGTAAAATCAAAATATTTGCTGCTTCACCATAGGACAAAAAATTCAAAATTTCAGTCTTTAACCTATCTTACCTTTAGAAAACTTTCCTTCTGGTATATCAACATTTAGATGATCATGAAGTTTTCTTCACTCATTGACTTGGTTTCCAATTGTAATATCTGACTGTGAATCACAAATTCTGAATAAATAAAATATACAGTTATCTTACTATAATGGATGTAGTAGTAGTAGTAGCAGCATGTATGTCAGTATCTATGTATGTGACCAAAACTCCTGCACCATATATTGAATGGCTCCACAAACAAAAATCCATAAAAACTTTCATACTTTGGGTATTCAAGAATCAGACATTTAGAAAAATAACTGTGGTATGTGCAACAACCATTTCTTTATAACAGAGCAAAACTTTAAATAAAAGTACTCTTCCCCACAACAAGAACATGACTTTCACTAGAACTGTACATGAGGATTTGGTTTTATCTTTATTGATGAAATTTTTAAATGTAGTAGTGAGAAATTGGAGTTCTTAAAAAACTATTATTTTTTCATTAAATGGTACCACTTTTAGTATATAATAACACTACAGTTTATATCAGTAAAATTTATGAAAATAGCATAATCCAAACACTTTTTCATGCAGTATTTCTCAGAAAAAAAAGTCTTTTAGAAAATGTTAACTTTTTCTAATTTTTTTCAATGAGATATGAATACTACAATTAGTAATCACTAGCATAAACAGCCAGCCATAGGGTGTCATTTCTGCTAGTAGAACAAACACTGGATAATCTAAAACTGTTTAATGATCCAAAAACCAAACAAAAACTGCCAATTTCCATTCCATCCAATAGTCAGAACATGTTTTAAGTCTTGAAATGAATTTCTAACAGTTAATAGTAATTTGCTTTTCTGTGTTTATCTCTTAGTTTTATTTTCTGTATGAATATCATTGGTCTATACGCAAACTCCCAAAAATATAAACACTTTCAATCTCCATTTTTTCACAAATATTTTAAACAACAATTATGTAACATAATATGAAATATCCATTTATATTTTTGCTTTGGTAATACAAATTGATTTTATTTAATCTGAAAAAAAAACATTTTTTATTCCTCTTTTATGCAAAACTCAATTTTATTAAACCTCTAAAAATATGTAACTATTTATTTTAAAAACTGTCATATAAATTTCTAAAGTTGTTATATCAGTATACAAGTGGGGCAAAATTGAATATAATGTTATGTTAAGACAGCAGAAGTCACGTGACATTGGTAACACGTAATGATTATCTAAAAGATTTGCGAAAAACGCTAGTGCACGCGATTTTGTTACGACAGCGGAAGTCAAGTGACGCTGGTAGCATGTGATGAGTGTCTAGAAGATTCTCGAAGAGGCTACGTGGGCACTATTATCGTATATAAGTGCGCTAGACAAAGGAGACAAGAGAGAGAGAGTGGGGAACCAAGGACAGCAGTTACGGTCAGTGGGAACCGAGGATAGCAGATACAGAGATGGGAACTATAGTTGCTGACAGGCGGAGATAGAGACGGACAATTAAGTCAAGCACGGTAGTAAAGTGAGTGAATTGTTGTGAATTATAGCATGTGTTTAAGTTAAAGTAACTGGAAATTAAGTGTATTGCAAAGTTGTATTGAGGATGAATAAACTAGTTTTATTTAAGAAAGGACTTGTATCGCAGGAAAATTAACAAACGAACATACAAAGACGTAACAGTTATTTCCTTTAGAATATATTTAATTTTTAATTTTATTAAACAATTATTAGACTTGTTTCAATTCTTTTAATATTTCCTTTAGTAACAACCATATATATATTGAAATGTTTATTTTTCTGATATTCTGCTTGTAATTTTCAAGAGCATATTGTAGCAAAAGTAAAACATCACTAAATCTTAAATTCACTTTCAAGTTGATATGCAACTAGCTTTTTTGAACCTCTTTAGTTTCTTCTAACATGTTTCCACCTATAATAACCTTGCCATTGGTTATGTTTATACATTATAGGGGAAAAAATTATTTTTCTTCTTGATGTCTTAATTATCAGCACTAATTACTTCCCAAAACTGCAATACAAAATCAAATGATACTGTTGACACACATACACAAAAGTCACAATAGCCTTCATTATCACATTGTACATATATTAATTTCATCTTTCAATCTTTACTTAATAACTTACCTGTTGAAAACCTTTTCTCTTGTATATCAACATCTAGATAAATAAGAGATTTGTCTTCATCTGTTGAATTAGTTTCTAGTTGTCACCTCTAGTTTTGAATCAAAGTTTCTGTACAAACTGTACAATTATATAACATGTTATGGATAATCTTGAGTCCATTTTATAATTTACCAATTTTGTTAAAATATACATAGAGAGAGAAATATTTTAAGTACTTTAGTTTTTTAACTGCCTGACTCACTTTAATATTGAAATTTTGTGCAAGAAAAGTTTACATATTAAACTGACTAAAGTATACTTCACTATATATTTATTAATACCAGTCATAAAATGTCATCATAACTGCAAGTAAGACCTATTAAACACAGATTTTAATGCCTAATTTTAAAAACAAATACAAATTAATTAGCTATAATATTTCAGTATAGTATAAGATTTCTCTTGCAATAAGAAGAAAATGTTCGATATTTCACAGTATATAAAATGTGACATTCAAAAATACATGAAATAACAACAATAAATGCTAACTAGAGCTGGATGTCATTTTTCATTAATCAACACTAGTATATGTTATAAAAATTAAACCTTTGTATTGTTATATTTTGATTAAAGTTAACACAAAAATGTGTCACAAAACCCTAGTGTTCAATGGAACACAATAGTATTAAATGGATTCCAATAATACCTTTCTTGTGATATTTTGCTTTTACTGGCAGTCATATACCTAAACTTTTATAGCAACACTTAAAGGAAGAATAATATTTTGTATATGCATTAAAGATAACTAGTATACTATCTACAAGTCTACTGATACAAGCAGGTCATGGGTAAAAATTTTCCAATTTTGCAAATTATATAGATGGAATATTAGAGATGTGTTTTGTTTTTTATTATGTTATGTATTAAAGTAATCAAAATTATTATGTATAAACAGCCAGTGAATACACACGTAAATTCACCACCAAGTAAATAGCTGTGTGATGCCACTTTTGCTAAACTTCTTTCCAACCCTTTGTTACAAATGTTACTCCACATGGAAATATTCATTCAAATCCTTTAAATAAAACACCATGTCATCATCAGACAAGAAATATCAACCTACACTGGATGTATATTTCTACTGTCCAGGGTTATCAAACCAAAACAATTCATGCCAGAAATGTGTATGACAATCATGAAGAAAACTCCTACTTTGAAACAGGTTGAGACATTAACAGAGCTATCTCAGAAAAGTCTACTAGATAACAGGGGACTTGCTCAATATATTAATTACAGAGTAGTACTATAACTCTTGCTACTGAGTTGATGCATAAATGAAATAACAATACTGGAAAGAAAGTAATACACTAACCACAAATAGGAGATTTGTTCAAGAAATCGATTACAGAGTAGTACAAAAACTTTTACAACTGATTCAATGCTAAATGTTGTAGCAATACTGGAAAAAAGTGAAACACTAAATACAAATACAGTGTGTGTACTTCCAGTTTACTTATGTCAGATGATCACTTTTACTGGATACTCTCTTCAACTGTTCTCAAGATTATCAAGACAAAATTCCAGACTGACCATCTGACTGAATAAGAAGTCTTAGACTAAACAAATGCAAGGTTTCTTAGTTGTCAACAAACATTGCATTTACTTAGAGCTACATGCTCCACCCACAACTAGTAATTCTCATTACAGTATTGGTGGGGCTGTAACCGGAACAACCACTGAAGAACACTGCTGTCAAAAGTCTTACACAATGTGTCATAACTTGCAATGCTCTCCTTGTTCGTAATAGGTATTACATCCTCTCAAGAACAACAAAGGTAACTAGAAATAAAACCAATTTACTTGCTTTCTCAACCACATTTATGTGAAACCTGCACATATACAGAAAAAAAAAGATTCAGAATAAATACTGTAATATTACAGAAAGATATAAACATATGGTATATTCATATATCACAATTATATTTCAATAGTGGTCATAATCTAAATATATGTAATATGAACATTACATTTTGTTTTATAACTAAATCGTCTAGTTCCAGTATAAATTAAGAGCTAGTATAATAGTAGTATGCAGTTTATGGGTCCCAGTAGCCAATTTTTGGAGGTTTGAGGAGGTCACACTGCTTATATACCTTCACTAGCTTTAACTGAAGTGAAGAGTCTGTACAAACCTTGACCTAAGAAAGAGACTTTAGTGACTGGATGCATTGCTCTGTGCACTGTTAAAAACAAAATATATAGAATGAAGAGACAACTTATAAAAATGACACGTGTATTAGTTAAATATACAGCACTTGGTTAAACTATTGATAATAATTACTAAAATATTATGATATGAAATATTTATATGCCATTGATTTCTCATATAAAAGATGTATATTTAATACCCTTACATAGTATTTTCTTGATATTTATTAATATCTTAATAAATATCTTAAATATTTATTGTTGTCTACAATGTAAGAGCATATTTCATGATAATTACTATTTTCTATCAGAGTATGATATATGAAATGACTGCACAGTAATACAACACTGTGTGTATGATACTCACTGGGATAACAGTTGGGATCTCAACTGTCAAAAAATGCTCTTCTATTTTAAATGGCTTTAATGCAGAAGCTCTAAACTTCTGTAATTTCACATTCACTTTCTGTTATCAGTATGTGATGGCACACCTTGCCCAATAACATTATCTAAGATCGACAAAATAATTATTATAAATGTATTGTAATGCGATTGTGTGCATATTCCAAAAGAGTCACAATGTCACACCTATTACTTAAATAATTCATAAAATACTTGTAAATGAATACCTTACAAACACTAAATACACAGCATTCAACAGTGTTAACCATAAACTTGAAAACCAGTTTTAATCAGAAATTTAAAAAACAATAACTATGAGTAAATGAGTAAAAAAGTTATTGAAATCATGTACAACATGAACAGGAACTCTGTGTGTAAAGACTATATGAAAAACATATCTTAGACTTATAAAATATAGACCTATTTATACAACACATCCAAATGTTGTTAAATTATTTACCTGCATCCCTTGTTGTTTGTCAACAACACTTCTTTTCTTTTTTTTCCCTGTCATCATCATCATGTGCCATCTGTCACAAACCTCCACTTCTATCTGTTCTTTGCTTTTATCACCAGGTTTTCATATTTTGCTATCTCAGTCCACTCTTTAATATTTGTTATCTATTCTGTTCTTGGTCTTTCCTTGTATCTTTTCCTTTCTATTTGACCCTCTAGTATGACTCGTCTCATCCTCTTGATGGTTGATACAACATATCTTTTCACATTCAACATATTTAGAACTTCTTCTGTTGTTACCTTGTCTATCCAGGATCCTCTTTCTCTACACCCACATCTCAAATGCTTCCGGTTTGTTAATCAATGCTTATGTCAAGGTCCATGTTTCACAGCCATATAACAGAGTTGACCAAATATAGTACTTCATTATTTTCTTCCTTGTTTTTACTATTATGCTCTTTGATGTCAGACTTGTTTTCATACTGTTAAAGGCACCTCTTGCCACCTCAATCCTCTTCACTATTTCAGTTTCACATTTTCCATCACCTGTTATGGTCTGGCTGAAGTATGTGAATTTCTTTACTTGTTGTATGTCTTTTTCTTCTAATTTTATCTGAATTTCTGGCTTATTATCATGTCTACTTATCAGCATACCCTTTGTCTTCTTAGCATTCATTTTCATTCTATACCTCCTTCCTGTGTTCTTTACATCATTCAATATATCTTGTAAGTTTTGTTCTGTTTCAGCCATCAGTACAGTGTCATCAACATATCTTAAATTGTTTATCACCATGCCACCAATCTGATTACCTTTATTACTCTTAATGCTGTGAAAGGTGTTTTCTGTGTACAAATTAAATAGACATAGGGAAAGGACACATCCTTGGCATACTCCTCTTTTACTTTGTATTTCTAGCAATAATCCCTCTCCAGTCCTTTTCCCCATGCATAACTGAAGATAAATGCCACATTTATCTTTAATGTTTTATCAAGTTTGAAGCTTAAACTATTTATGAATTCAGGATTCATCTAATTTGTGCATTAAAAATAAACTAAACATGATAAAGCTGTTTCAATGAACTCCCACTCCTGGTGTCCCACACTTTCCATCCACAGCTTTCTCAGTTTCTAGACTTTGAGAAACCTAAAGAAAATCCTTCACTGTTCTTACACTGCACTCCACAAAAATAAGACACTTGCAAGCAGAAGTAGCAAACCATGCAACAACAACAGAAGTGTAACAAGAACTGTTTATCAAGATTGACATCACAAGCTAACCTTCACTGACTACTTTTATGCAGGAAGTTCAAAATTTTAGATTATTGTTTGATCAAAACTAATCACTGATTTTTAAATTAATAAAAGTCTATGGTGCAAAATATGTATATCTATATATTTTGGTACTGTTCTCATATTACATGCTAAAACTATTTTTTAACTTTAAGACCATTAGTTTTCATTGTTCAAATATGTGAAAAAATTTCAAACACATCACTGTGGTACAATAAACTCCTATCAAATTTATATAATGCCTATTTAAAGTATTTATGATTAGAGCTACAAATATATGGTTATTTCCATATTTCTAGGCAAAAACGTTCTAAGAAATTAGCTTTTTAACAGGCTAATATTAATATACAGTTTTGATGTAATTATTAACCTTAAGTTATATGAGAAAATGTTACTGGTAAGCCAAGAATGATAGTATCACAGGATTTAGTAGATGAAAATGATAAATTGTTATAGAAAAATATGAAAGTTTTATTTTTGAAAATTGTAGGAAAAGAAATGGAAGACAGAGCCTTATTAAGATTGATTTACACATTACTTATATATATAGTCCCTAGTGGCTCAGTGGTAAGTGTGCCAGCTCAAACCACTAAAAACCATGTTTCCATTCTCAAGTTTGGCATAGACACAAAAAGCTCATTATAGAACTTTCTGCTTTACAACAAATAAAACTTATCTATAATTTTTCAATTAGTGTATATTGAATACATCCAAACACATATGTGCATATTGTATATAGGTTTTAAAGTACTATTTAATTCTTTTTTATACTGTTACGTCTCCGTTTGTTAATTAACTTCCAGTAACTTT